TTAGAACAAGCAAAATTTTTTATGAACAATGCATTTTTCTCAAAATGTCAATAATAAAAAAGTTTTTCCTCTTGTAAAGAAAATCCGGGGACATACTGTATACGATCTGGTCATTGAAACTGCGTGATCTGGATTTTAACGTGTAAGACAGTGATGATGTCGACAGCTTAATGGAAAATCTTTAAAATTTTGTATTTTGATTACAGATGTGGATTTATTTAAAAAATCAGAATGTATTTGGGGCTTTAACACAACGTAAAGAAAGGCTTACGACACATTCGGCAGACTATTCTATATCTCACCCCTCGCATCTGTTGCTTCCCTTATTTACTCCAACCTCCCCTCTCGACTACTATATTCGCCACCCTCTCCGCTAACCGGCGCCACTTCATAATTTAGGCGCCCGCGTCATCAAACTGTACGCGGGGCGTCGTTGCGGCCAAACTAATGGGTGACTAAAGGGCCCCATTTAGACCTTCCGCTAGGGGCGCGCACCTGTGGCCCATGCCGCCCGAAACAATGGCCCATTAATGCCATGCTCTCTCGTCCGCTCCGCTGTGCGGTCGCTGGTGCTGATACACAAATTGCTACCTGTTGTTGTTATTGTGCGGTGCCGTCTGTCAGTTCGTTCGCAGGCGACTTGGAGGGTGTACAGTGTACAGGAGGTCCGTTTTTCTACACTGGAAATCTACAAAATAAAATTATATTTTTGTGTAAACACCTCTGGTGTTGAATCCAAAGGGGCACCCACCGTGAAACCGGTTTAAACAAAAAATTAATACTGTTTGACCAGCGGATCTGTAGCTACGGAAGGAATGCGAGAAAAAAAAATCGATATTGCCACGTTTATCTATAAAATTGCAAAATTGCCAGACATGAACTATAAATTTAATATATTTTTATTATATATAATGTGTTTAGCATATATTCTGATGTATATTACTAAGGAATTTTAACGTAGTTCATATTGTTCGATATGTTTTATTTAATAACTTATTTCTTTCATTCTGAGTGCGACAAGTAAACTCTCACCCAAATTTTCATTGCCACTCGCAAATTGACAAGCAAAAAAGACAGTCTCGAAGTGTCAATATTAAAGACGTGAGGTTGACATTTAAATATTTTTAGCCGACCATACCAACAGGTATGGTAGGCTATTAAGATCGGCAAAAAAAGGTTTTTTTAATTTCACTCAAAATGAGTTATTTGGGTTATAAATGACTTAAATACAAAATATTTTCATGGTGTCTGTCTGTCTGTCCGTCTGTAACACGATAACTCAAAAACCGCTAAACCGATTTTAACCAAATTTGGCACAAAAATACTGTGGCACCCGAGAATCTGGCCATTAGTTTTTGGTGGGGGTGGGGGGTTGGTAAGGTGGTATGGGAGGGGGTTAAAATTTTTAAAAATCGGAACTCCAAAATTCCAGTAGCTAGCGAAACGCGGTTTTCAATTTAAGATTAGGAATAATATTTGCAACAAAATTTGTAATAACATCAAAATCAGTCAAAGTCGCAGTTTTTGAGATAAAAAAAAATTGGAAAAATTCCTTTACTTTGAAACTAAAAGAACTGCCTACCAACTTTTTATTAACATATTTTAGTATGGGCGGCTATACGTGCCTCCCGGCGCCAATTTTTTTTATTTTTTGATTATTTTATTACGTTGCTTTTTAATATGTATCTTTTATTATATTTCATCATGTAAACAAATTATTAAACACCATTATGAAGAAGCAACGTTAAAATTCCTTCATTTTCTATAACACTCTTTGAATAAGAAGACTAAGGAAGGAGCATAATGCTATCCATGTATTCATGCATGGTGGACGGAAAAAGCGCCATAAAAGCACTCTAGGGTGGGGATCCTTGACAGTTCTGTTTAACGATTCATTTGACACATTTGAATTTGATTTGAAATTTTGTGGATTTGTCAGTCTTTACGGAGCTTATTTTATGTTATTTATTATTTATTCTACTACTGATAGTTGTATAAAGGTAGTAAATCTAGATGGAAATTGTGGCAGAACTTAAATTAACAGTGACACTATCGCGATTTATCGAAAAAGATTCTAAAATAGTTGGTTGTGTAGCGTGCGGTAGATCTCGGCAAAAATTGAGTGAAATAATGGAAAACAACTTTTCGCTAGTAAGTGACTATATGTATAATATACGTACGTGTAGTAAACCGATCATTTATGAAATTCACTTAAATTAACTAAATTATATATTTTTCTTGCATTTTAGCTTTTATTTATTACTTGTCAAAGATTAGATGTCAAAGAATTTAGATACGCTAATTTGACTTACCTGCTTCAGTAGCGTATCGGATGTTTGTGTTAATAAATACTTATTATAACTTATCTATTTTTATTAGAATTATATATTTTTATAACAATTTTAATAACTGCCAACATTTATTCACAACGTAACATAAAACAACAAATTATTGAGTCTACCCCACGTCTACCCTACATCATAGTTTTACATTTTTTAAATAAAATTAGAACGACACTGATAAACCGGAATTTAAGTCGGCCATATTTGAGGCCCATCGCGGTGTACCTTTGATTTTTGATATGCTCCTTCCTTAGTCTTCTTATTCAAAGATAATACTCTAAAATTCGATTTAAAAATTTGAAGTTTTTAATGTCATCTTTTCCATTCATCTATGGGGTGTTCCAAAAGTTGTTTTTTTTGTCACAAGATTTTTAAAGTATTTTTTGCTTTTTAATAAGTCTCTTTTGTTTACATGATGAATAATATAACAAAAGAAACATATTAAAAAGCAACGTAATAAAAAATAGTATGTACAACTCGAGAGAACAACTTCGCTCTCGTGGGCAACCGACAACTTTTCGCACTAGTTGCACAATATACTATTTTCTACAAACGTCAAAAAATGACAAGGTTCGCGAATTGATAGCAATGTGCGAAGTGACCCTTTTTTTCATTCTCCTACGTTACCATGACACGGTGCGCGAAGTAATGCGCGAAATACCTATTTCGCACACTGCATGTAAATTATATGAGATTTTGGAATTTTTATTTTTGGAAAATGAACTACTAAATCATAACTAATTATTTATTTCGAAATATTCAAGAATAAACAAATAACTAATATCAAACTTAACACTAATGCATATTCTAGTTATTATTTACAATATTAACATTAATAGTACAACCAGTACACGAACCAATATTTAATCTCAAACTAGACAGTTCTGATTTTGCTTGAGATATGGGGGTTTTGGGACTTGAGACACTATCCAATTTTGATGTAGAGGTACTTGATCCCGGTATTTGACACTCTAAATTTTTATTTGATATTTGAATTTTATTGTTGATAGAATCCTCGACGTATCCCTCGGCCACTATCGAAGATTTCCATTCTCCGTGGTGTTTCAAACTAAATATATCACCCCCTGCATTAGCAAGGAGTGTGGCTGAAGTTCTCCGGAAACACTGACCTGTGTAGGCCTCATAATCTGGCAGCTTCAAGTGTTTTGCTATCATGCTAGGCATCTTACCAATAGAATTTATGCCGGTCACTTGGTTAAGACATCTATTATTTTGATATTTTAAAAACAATCTGCGACTGGTAGCATTTCTTGGACGAAGAGCTGAGTATTATATTTAAAATTTGAGTGACAAGTGATTACTTTAAAATGTAAAAAGTGTATAAAACTGAAAAAATCTAATCGAGTTATTTTATTAAAAAATTACGGTATGTGTTAATACAAAACAAGCAAGGGTGTATTTTAAACAAAACACTACATACCAAAAAAAATATAAACTAGATATCTTACTTTCAAGCTCAAGCAACTTCCTGCATTTATTACTACATTTTTTATCAATACGAGTATAATTTATGTACAAATAAAAAAAAATAATATTGCAAAGGCATAATAAGAAAACATAAAAAAAATGTTTTATTAATAATAACACTTACTGAATTTTATACCTTAAAAGTTGATTAATTAATTTTAATCATAATTTTTTAAACCAGTATCTTTTGACATTATCTCTCTGCAGTACTAAAATTTATTATTTACCTATCGTGTGATGTTATTTTACAGATAGACACTTTAGTTTTTGGTACCATATAGGAGATGGTATACAAACTTTATTTGTGGCTAATACAACTCTCTGGCTGTAAACTGTATCTCTGGGCACTGAATATTAACTGTAAACTATGGTCTGGGTCAACACTTAATTTTCCCTCGAGTTTCCTCCACTTAATTTTAAAAAAACCGAACACACGTAATAACACATTCCAAAATGCAAAATATTTATCATTTCTATTTGACATAATTTGACACAAAATTATAACCTATAATTTGGCAAGGGTTTGACAACTCTCAAAAATCTTAAGCCGAGTTCAACGGCGTCCGTTTGTCGTTCATCGCTCCGTCAAACCAATAATATTGAAATATGATCTGTCATTTTTGAAATAATCCAATAAAATTGGTTAAAAACAACGACGCATGACGGATTTATATATAAATCCATCCATAGTTAACTTAAAAAATTAGAAACTTTTTTTTTATTGAGATAAATAGATTGGTATGGAGTCATCTGCTTTTTTTTTCTGTCATCGTCTGTCGAAATCTTACATGAGAAAAAAAAAACAGAATATATTCACTTGCAGAACAAGATCGAAAGATGGAAATCCGTTAAGTGAACTATATAAATTTCCCAGCTTTACTTGTCACCTACCTGTCACAATCGATTCAAACCTTTAGATACAAATCCAAACGCTTTTATGGCACTCCTCGTCTGTCATCATATCGAAGCATCATATAAACTCTCTTATTCCTCCGTGATAAACAAATATATTCAGATATATTATAACCTGCCCCAAACCTGCCCAACTGTAGATAGTTAATTCTATCAACCAGCCGGATAGCCCTGGCAGCTGTAGCCATTAAAGCAATATACTTCTATTACCTAAAATATTCGGTGGCGCTCGTAAATATTACCAGTCTGTCATATCACGCCAATTTGACACCATGTCGTTTAGAAAACACTTCAAATTCAACAATTTTGATTTCTCCAAATTTAAACCCAAATTATGTACACAACAGCGGCACGTAAGCACCAGTTACGATTTTGTAGTGATCGGCGGCAGTTCCGGTGGCTTGGCTGCAGCCAAAGAGGCCAGTTCTCTGGGAGCGAAAGTTGCTCTAGTCGATTCGCCGCGATTCGAAAGCAAACACTTAAAATGGGGCATAAACGGAAGTTTTATTAAAGGAGTTTCCATTCCAAAAAAGCTAATGCATCATGCTGCCTTATTCAAAGATGCTATTCACGACGCCAAGTGGTACGGATGGCAAATGGATGGGCCTGTGAATCACAACTGGCTGGAGTTAAGACACGCTATCGAAAATTACATTAAATTATTAAACAAAGATAATGAGGCTAAGTTATCCGATATAAACGTAGAGTATATTAACGCAACCGCATCATTCAAAGACAGCACAACAATTCAAGCTACGACTGAGCTGGGTGATTTTAATCTAAAGGCCAAATATTTTCTCATATCTGTCGGAAGCAGAGCTCAATATCCTGACGTATACAACGCTACAGAATACGGAATAACTTGTGACGACATCTTTAATCTTGAGAAGCCTCCTGGAAACACCATGATTATCGGCGCCGGTCATTCCGGATTGGAAAGTGCAGGATTCCTTAACGGTTTGGGATATAAAACAACCGTCATGGTACGATCTATTCCACTAAGAGGTTTTGATCAACAGATGGCTGGAATTGTAGTCAACGAAATGCAAAGTAAAGGAGTGGTGTTTCTGGATAGGTGCATACCAAAGTCCATTAAAAAATCAACTTCTGGAAAGTTATTTGTATCCTGGACCAATATTGCTAATGAATCGTTTAAAGAAGAATTCGATACTGTAGTTTTTGCTGTGGGTCGACGAGCTTTAACAAAAGAACTTAAGGTGGAGAAGGCTGGAGTTAGAGTGACTGGAGATGAAGGAAGAATACAAACTTTTAATGAACAAACTAATGTCCCTCATATTTATGCCATAGGGGATGTTTTATACAATAAACCATCACAAACTCCAGTATCTGTTTATTCGGGAAAATTGCTATCCAGAAGATTGTTTGGTAATAGTACCCTAACAATGGATTATGATAACGTACCCACAACCATTTTTACCCCTTTAGAATACGGATTCATCGGATCAACGGAAGAAGAGGCTATGAATCTCTACGGAGAAAATAACATTGAAGTTTATCACTCCTATTATAAACCTACAGAATTTTTTATTCCGCAAAGACCTATAAACAACTGTTATTTGAAAGTAATTTCGTTGCGAGAAGGAGACCAGAAAGTTTTAGGGATGCATTATATAGGAACACATTCAGAGACGATCTTGAAGGGATTTTCAACTGCTATGAAATGTAATTTAACGGTGAAGGCTTTGATGAACACTGTGGGCATTCATCCAACTATTGCCGAGGAATTTACTAGAATAAATGTCACGAAAAGATCAGGAAAAAATCCCAAACCAGCCTCTTGTTGCAGCTAATATTTTGTATGTGTCTATTGTCAGTTTTATGAATATATTATTTTTGGAAAATTAATTTTGTATTATTATTAGGCAACGGCCCAGCTACGTCGAAACACCGGTTCCCATTAGAACACCGAAGTTAAGCGACGTAAGGCGATACTAGTGGATGGACGGGTTCGAAACTCTGTATCGTGCTGTTGTCCAAAAAAAGGCAAAAGTGTAAAATCTATTGACACACACTGCTCATTCATGCCGGTTCGAGGCCGGATGAGATCGGATATCTCGCGAGTAAGATTCGATTCAGACACTTGCCAAGTCGGTAGGCCATTGACCATGATATGACCGAGGACCGCGGTTCGGATTCCGCGTAAACAAAGTAGGCCCCGTCCAGATTAGCCCTGGCAGCAAAAAGGAGACGTTAACTGAAATCTTTACTTTACTTTAATTTTGTATTAATTATAACAATTTCTTAAGATATAAACAGAAAAAAATAGCAACACAATTTTTTTTCGAAATTTATATTTTATATGAAAATTAATGCTGAGTGACATAAATAACTCAATAGGCCAAGTTTATAAGTATTTTAATGGATAACAAATGTATTTTTTTATCTATTCAAAAGTTATAATTATTTTCAGCTATTAAAAGTTAAACATGGCATTTATGTTGAGTTTAAATTGAGATATAAATTTTTGTCGGTAAACTTCTGTTTTCATATTACATTGTATTTTAATTGGTATATAATTAATGAGATAAATGAATCCAATTCATTTAAAATATATGAGCTTTTAAAATCATACAATTAGTTTTAAATATATGTTTTTTTATTTACAATCGCATAATGCAATGTTGACATTACTAACGTTTTAAAGTATTGAAAGTGTTGCCATTAGTTACCTTCACTTCCCTCTTCCAGCTTCTTCACTTGCCTTTTTCTTCCATTTCTCTTGCTTCAGCTTTTTCTGCAGCTTCTTCAAGTTCAGGTGGAGGACCATTATTAAACTAGTCTTCATTATCATTATTTTGGGTTTTTTTGATGTACAAATTCGAAGGAAACGAGAAAAGTAATGCAAAGTAAAGGAGTGGTATGTCTGGACAGGTGCATACAAATTAAATTAAAAAATCAACTTCTGGAAAATGATTAGTATCCTGGACCAATATTGTTAATGAATCATTTAAAGAAGAATTCGATACCGTGGTTTTTGCTGTGGGTCGACAAGCCTTAACAAAAGAACTTAAGGTCGAGAAGGCTGGGATCAGAGTGATTAGAGATGAAGAATTAATACAAACTCTTAATGAACAAACTAATGTCAGGTCATATATATGCCACAGGGGATGATTTATGCAATAAACCGTCACAAACTCCGGTATCTGTTTATTCGGGAATATTGCTATCAAGTAGATTGTTTGGTAATAGTACCCAAACAATGGATTATGATAACGTACCCACAACCATTTTTACTCCTTTAGAATACGGATTCATCGGATCAACGGAAGAAGAGGCTATGAATCTTTACGGAGAAAATAACATTGAAGTTTATCACTCCTATTATAAACCTACAAATTTTTTTTTTCCGCAAAGACCTATAGACAACTGTTATTTGAAAGTAATTTCGTTGCGAGAAGGAGACCAGAAAGTTTTAGGGATGCACTATATATGAACACATTCAGAGACGATCTTAAAGGGATTTTCAACTGCTATGAAATGTAATTTAACGGTGAAGGCTTTGATGAACACTGCATTCATCCAACTATTGCCGAGGAATTTACTAGAATAAATGTCACGAAAAGATCAGGAAAAAATCCCAAACCAGCCTCTTGTTGCAGCTAATATTTTGTATGTGTCTATTGTCAGTTTTATGAATATATTATTTGTGGAAAATTAATTTTGTATTAATTATAACAATTACTTAAGATATAAACAGAAAAAAATAGCTTTTTTTGAAATTTACATTTTATATGAAAATTAATACTGAGTGACATAAATAACTCAATAGCCCAAGTTTATAAGTATTTTAATGGACAACAAATGTATTTTTTATCTACTCAAAAGTTGTAATTATTTTCAGCTATTAAAAGTTGAACATGGCATTTATGTTGAGTTTAAATTGAGATATAAATTTTTGTCGGTAAACTTCTGTTTTCATATTACATTGTATTTTAATTGGTATATAATTAATGAGATAAATGAATCCAATTCATTTAAAATATATGAGCTTTTAAAATCATACAATTAGTTTTAAATATATGTTTTTTTATTTACAATCGCATAATGCAATGTTGACATTACTAACGTTTTAAAGTATTGAAAGTGTTGCCATTAGTTACCTTCACTTCCCTCTTCCAGCTTCTTCACTTGCCTTTTTCTTCCATTTCTCTTGCTTCAGCTTTTTCTGCAGCTTCTTCAAGTTCAGGTGGAGGACCATTATTAAACTAGTCTTCATTATCATTATTTTGGGTTTTTTTGATGTATAAATTCCAAGGAAACGAGAAAAGTAATGCAAAGTAAAGGAGTGGTATGTCTGGACAGGTGCATACAAATTAAATTAAAAAATCAACTTCTGGAAAATTATTAGTATCCTGGACCAATATTGTTAATGAATCATTTAAAGAAGAATTCGATACTGTGGTTTTTGCTGTGGGTCGACAAGCCTTAAAAAAAAGAACTTAAGGTCGAGAAGGCTGGGATCAGAGTGATTGGAGATGAAGAATGAATACAAACTCTTAATGAACAAACTAATGTCAGGTCATATGCCACAGGGGATGATTTATGCAATAAACTGTCACAAACTCCGGTATCTGTTTATTCGGGAATATTGCAATAGATTATGATAACGAACCCACAACCATTTTTACTCCTTTAGAATACGGATTGGATTCATCGGATTAACGGAAGAAGAAGCTATTAATCTCTACGGAGAAAATAACATTGAAATTTATCACTCCTATTATAAACCAACCGAATTTTTTATTCCGCAATTTTAGGGATGCATTATATAGGAACACATTCAGAGACGATCTTGAGGGGATTTTCAACCGCTATGAAATGTATCTTAACGGTGAAGGTTTTAATGAAAACTGTGGGCATTCATCCAACTATTGCCGAGGAATTCACTACAATAAATGTCACGAAAAGATCAGGAAAGAATCCCAAACCAGCCTCTTGTTGCAGCTAATATTATGTATATGTCTATTGTCAGTTTTATGAATATATTAATTCTGGAAAATTAATTTTCTATTAATTATGGCAAATTTACTTAGACATAAACAGAAAAAATAGGTTAATCAGAATTTTTTCGAAATATATGAAAATTCATACTGAGTTAATATAATATCGCAATAGGCTTTAAATATTTACACTTGGGTATAAGTATTTTAATGGATAACAAATGTATTGTTTATCTCGTCTCAAAAGTTATAGCCATTTTAAGCCATTAAAAGTTGAACATGGCATTTATGTTGAGTTTAAACTGTGTTATAAATTTTCGTCGGTAAACTTCAATTTTCATTACTGTATTACATTGTATTTTAATGAGTTAATTAAAGACATTAATGAATTCAATTCAATTAAAATATATTAAGCTTTCAAAACCACTCAATTAGTTTAAAATATGTACTTTTTATTTACAACCACATAATGTAATGTTGACATTACTGATGTTTTAAATTTTAAAGTAGGCATAGAAAACTACCTTTATTTCCCTCTTCCATTTCCTTCACTTGTCTTCTTTTAGTTCTGCTGGGGCACCACTGTTAAACTAGTATTTATTTTCTGTATTCAGAATTGTCATTATTATGATTATGAGTGTATTTTTTTAAACATCGCTGCGTTGAATCCAAATGGAAGCCAAATAAAGGTACGGGAATTTTTCCGGAAGGCCTTGACATTGCAAGGTCCTATCGTCTTCTGGCTAGATCGTGTTAAGAGATACTTACCATTTGGAAGATCTGCGAATGGCTGAGCAAGGCGGAAACCTGCGATAATCATTGACAGCCAAGCAGCCATATTGGCGATAATATAATACTGCTAGGTTTGCGGCGATATATACGGAACACTAGCCAACTGGTGACCATGCCGCGAGAATGCGCATCCCTTTTAACGAAGTTTTCCGAAATTGCAACTTTAAATAATAAAAAATAAAATCAAACTTTAATCAACCAACCGACATGAAATGCTTAACGTTTTAAGAGGTAGGTATATCTCCTCCCGTAGTCAGAAGCAAAAAAAAAACATTTATTTTCCTACACCTACTGTAACGTCGATTTTATTCGACCGAAGGATATTTAAAGTCACTCAATGGTGATCAGACCAACAATATAATCCGAAAATAAAAGGATAACAAATCGAACGTAAGAGTCTCCCTTTTAAAACATCTTCGAGGACGCTTTTAAGCACACTTTACGTCCAGCACACGAGATATCTTGACCGTAAAAAAGGATCGATCGACAGTTGACCACAAACGATTAGTACGGTCTAATGAAACGTCAACGTGAAACTTGCTTCCCAGTTTACGACTCTCGCCACTTTCTATAGCTCTTTCATTTCGCAGGCCGCAATTGAAGAAGGTCCATTTGCAGCGATCGAAACTAATCTTTCTACGGTTTTTTTCTTGTGTAGAAAATGTCTGGCGACGCGTAAATAACCCAGTGGTGTAGTCTGGTCTTGAATAGTCCCAGCTAACGAGTTTATAGTTTTAGAGTATGTTTAAATATTTTAAATTAAATTAAAAAAGGAAATCGCACCTATACATTTTTTAAAAATTTTATTTGAATGAAAAGTTGTAATTTATTTAATGTTAAACTACAGTGACCGGCACGAAAAACGGACTCTTCCCGAAATTTTCTCTTTTTTTTAAGTTTATATATTTTGTTCTATTGTACCGATTTTGGTAAATTTTTAGGCAATGCGTAGCTAAATTATTTGAATCTTTAGTCTTTTTTAAATTAAAAAATTGGCGCCGGGATGCACGTATAGTATAGCCGCCCATACTAAAATATGTTAATATCTCGAAAACTGCGACTTTGACTGATTTTGATGTTATTACAAATTTTGTTGCAAATATTATTCCTAATCTTAA